GAGACATTGTGTGTGTTATCTGGTGGTGGTTATGTGTCATGGAGTCAGTTCCCACTCATAGCGACCCTGTATAGGGTTTCCAAGGCTGTAAATCTTTACAGGAGCAGAAAGCCTCATCTTTCTCCCATTGAACTGCTAGTAAGTTTCGAAGTTACCAGCCCAACTCATAATCACTACGCTACCAGAGCTCCTTGTGTGTTATCTAGGGGTGTTATCTAGGTGAGAGATACTATCTTTACTATCCTGGACATTAAATAAAACTTATCTGAGCAAGATAACATCTTGTAATACTGTGTGCTCTACAAATATTTTTTATAGGCAGTCCTGAGGGGGGAAAATGTGTTCATGCGTTTATTCAGAGACATGCAGAAACATGAAATCCTTTTCAGTATCCTACACCCTTTCCTGTAAGGTAATTTCACATTCCCAAACCCCTTATCTTCCATATCTGTGTTTCATAGAATCACCAAACTTCTAGACCCATGACTGGAGGAGTGTAGGCATTTCATTTGCTTATGCAAACCCTGACCCAATGCGGCTGTCTACGGCTGTGAACTTGAGAAAAACATATCTATATTGTACAGTGTAGGTTCAGCAGTCTTGAAACATCCCAGTTTGTGTCCTTGTAATGATGTAGTTCTGCGAGGTATGTGTGTGTGTTTGGGGTAAGTGTACATTCCTCTGCATTTACACACAGTGCCTATCTGTGTGTGGCTTGTCCCCATACGTGAAACTTGATGAGTTCTCATACACCAAATATCTAAATGTTGTAAAGTGTTGTCAAGTCAGTTCCAACTCAAAGCAACCCTGTATAGGGTTTCTGAGGAGGAGTTGGTGGGTTTGAACTACCAACCTTGTGGTTTGAAGTCCAGTGCTGCTCCTACAGTGCCACACCTCACGGTAGGGAGTCTGGGCTCTAATCTAGAAATGGATAAGTGTATTCTGTCCTGGATGCCAGTGTGTCCATCCTGGTCTTTGACTCTGACTGTTCAGCCTTGTGTTTGGATCTTGCCTTGGGATCTAATCAAGTTGCTCCACGTATGAATGTCTGGATGTAGGCTTCTCTCTGCAACTTTGAATCACAACAAAGCAGTCTTCTGCATGAACCACAGTTTTGACCTTGACAGTCTGAGTCTGAGCAATTAAGTGTTGTGGCCTGGAGGCTGGAGCCCAATGCTTGTGGCTTGGTACTGTTTGCTGCTGTTGTTGTTGTTAGGTGCCATGGAGTTGGTAGCAACTCATAGCAACCCATGCACAACAGAACGAACCACTGCCCAGTCTTGCACCAACCTGACAATCGTTGCTACACTTGAGCCCATTGCTCTGCCATTATGCCAAGCCGTCTCATTTGGGAGTCTTCTTTTTTGTTGCAAACTATCCACTTTACCAAACATGATGTTCTTCTCCAGGGACTGGTCGGTCACTCCTGATAACATGTCCAAAGTATGAGAGAGGAATCTGGCCTCCCTAGCTTCCAAGGAGCACTCTGGCTGTACTTCTCCGAACACAGATTTGTTTGTTCTTTTGGCAGTCTACGGTACTTCTGATATTCTCCTCCAACTCCAGAACTCAAATGCATCAATTCTGCTATAGTCTTCCTTATTCACTGTCCAACTTCCACATGCATGTGAAGCTCTTAAAAATAACGATGGCAGTAAGAATTTTTAAAACACCCCAATGTATTCATAACTGTGTCAAAGCTTTTAATGAAATGACTGATGAGATCTTCCCAGAAATCCTAAGAGGGAAGTGTAATTATACACAGACAATTTTTCAAATGACTGTTGAGAGTTGATATTGAAAACTATGGGAATGTCTGTATATTGGGAATTTCCCACAAGAATGGTGATATTTCTGTTTTTCAAATGCTTTATTGTGAAATTTTCTACTTATATTCAAGATTCAAAAATTTTTTTAAATATACCACTAATTAAAGAACTTCCTGTACTTGTCACATGACTTAATCATAATGTTTTGATTAGTTCATTCATTTGCCTAAAGCAAGAAATTGGATTACTCCAATAGTAGTTAATACAATACACTTTTGACTATTATAAATAAGCCCCTAGGGTAAGGGATCTGTGATGTTTCTGATCCACAGAAGCAATACTGGGAAAGAAAAAAGTTTAGTTTCATAGCTGGTCTGAGTTCCAGACAACTGTGATGCTTTTGTAGAACACATCTTGCTTTTTCAGGAAATGTTTAGAAATCCAATTGAAACCCTTATCTTCCCTTGTAACAAATGGATCAATTACACTAATGTTCTACTCCTTAAAAAAGCACCAACCATGGCATGCCTTAGTCCTCAAACTGACATCTTTGTTCTTGAACACTTTAAAGAGGTATTGTACAGCAGATTTGCATTTTATGTCTTGACTGTTGCTTCCATGAGTGTTGATGACTGATCCAAGCAAAGTGAAGTCATTGATAACTTCAACCTTTTCTCTTGATGTTATATATTGGTCCAGTCATAAGGATTTTTTAATTTTTTTTTTTTTTTACAAAAATGAGGTGCAACCCAGACCGAAGGCTATGGGCTTTGATCTTCATCAGTAAGCATTTTAAGTCCTCTTTGCTTTCAGCAAGCATCTGCATATGACATATTGCTAATGAGTCTTCCTCCAATACTGATGCCACATTCTTCTTCATATAATCCAGCTTTTCAAATTATTTGCTCAGCATACAGATTGAATAAGTGAGAGAATACAACCCTGGTGCACACCTTTCCTAATTGTAAACCATTCAGTGTTCCCTTGCTCTGTTAGAAAAACTCCCTCTTGATCTATATGCAGGTTCCTCATGAGCACAATTAAGTGTTCCGGAATACTCATTCATGTGTCACATCCATACAATCAAAAGCCTTTGCATAGTCAATAAAGCACAGGTAAACATCTTTCTGGTATTCTCTGCTTTCAGCCAAGATCCATCTGATGTCAGCAATGAGATCCCTCGTTTCACATTCTCATCTGAATCCAACTTGAACCTCCTGCAGTTCCCTGTCAATGTACTGTTTCAGCCATTTAAAAATTATCTTTAGAAAAATTTTACTTGCATGTGATATTTATGATTTTGTCTGATGATTTCCTCATCCCATTGAGTCACCTCTCTTTGGAATGGGCATAAGTATGGATCTCTTCCAATCAGTTTGCCAGGTAGCTGTCTTTCAGAATTCCTGACATAGATGAGTGAGTGCCTCCAGTGCTGCATCAGTTTATTGAAAGATTTCAATTTTTATTCCATCAATTCCTGGCACCTTGTTCTTTGCCAATGCCTTCAATTCACCTTGGACTTCTTCCTTCAGTATCATTGGTTCTTGATCATATGCTACCTCTTGAAATATTTGGGCATTGACCATTTCTTTTTGGGAGAGTGACTGTGAATTCATTTCATCTTCTTTTGATACTTTCTGCATTATTCAATATTTTGCCCATAGAATCCTTCATTATTGCAAGTCAAGGCTTGAATTTTTTCTTCAGTTCCCTCAGCTTTTGGATTTCTAACTCCAGGTCTTTGCACATTTCATTATAATTCTTGGCTTTGTCTTCTCAACATCCCTTAGAAATTGTCTATTCTGTTCATTTACCTCATTTCTTCATTTGCTTTATAAGCATCTTCACACTGGAGAGCAAGTTTTAGAGTCTCTTCTGACATCCATTTTGGTCTTTTCTTTCTTTCTTGTCTTCTTAATGACCTTTTGCTTTCTTCCTGTATGATGTTCTTGATGTCATTCAACAACTCTTCTAGTCTCCAGTCTTTAGTGTCTAATACATCAAATCGATTCTTCAGATGATATTGAATATTGAATCGGGATTCTCTTGACCTGGGATGGCAGAAAGTCCTAGCCCTAGGATGTGTAGTATCCAGATCTGGATTAAGAAAGAGAAGAAAACAAATAGTGACGAGCATTGGGATTGCACCACTGTTTGAAGGGACAATGGAAAACCTACCTCTAGCCTTTCTTCTTAGTCTTCTTTCTCAAACTAGGTCCCTACTTCCTCCCAGAAAGCCCTAGAACTTTCTTTCTTCCCCAGACAACTCCCTGCCCAAGCCCCTTTATTTTAGTTGCTGGGGAACTTGCTCTGAAAGATCCTTGGTCTTTCTATTTCTAAATCATATATGCACTAGGATTGTGGATTATCAGGAACCAAAGGCTTTATGTTGAGTAGGACAAGATTTGTGAAAATAAATTCTGGATCTCTATGTTGTTGGTGTTGTTAAGTACCATCAAGTCAGTCCTGACGCATAGCGACCCTGTATAGGGTTTCCAAGGAGTGGCTGGTGGGCTTGAACCACCAAACTAGGAGTGCAATAATTAAGAAGTTCTGAAAAAGCAAGATATATTTAGGGGACATGGGAAGTTAGACTGTTGGAACTTTGACTGGGTGGAGGAGGAATTAGGACAGCTCATAATCTTCCTGCTGGTATTTAAATTTACAGTGAATCTTGAGCTGCAAGCACTAGATCACAAGGTCAGTTTGAACTACAAGGCAAGCAGTTCAAACACACCAGTCACTCCTTGAAAAGAAACCCTAGGGACCTACTCCAACTGCACTTAATAACAAGTAGCAATATGGCCCTATGTGGGTTTAGCATCTAAGGCTTTGACTTGGAATAAATAATACTCACAGACCTGTTTCTCTGCCTCCCCTCCACCCCCACCCCCTGCTTCACACCCATCTCTCCTCACTGGATTTGTCCACAGAGAGAGGCTCCAGGGACGACATGTCCTGTTCAATTTGACCTCAGTCTCAAAGAATGCATTACAGTGATGCCTGCCCTCCAGGGCAACAGGTGCAGACTGTCCCCGCCTTTCCATCACCCTGAGAGTGGGAATGGATTGTCCAGTCCCCAGCATCATGGGCAGGGCCTTTTCTGGTATATGGGTACAAATAGGGCAGGGAAGGGGGTCCTTGGGGAAATGAACATTTTTTAAAAGCTCCCCAAGAAGGATCCCTAACTCCTAGCTCTCAGCCTGTCTTGTCCTGGACATCTCTATCATCATGTGGTTCCTGATTCTGTGCCTCTCCCTGACCTTGAGATGGACAGGTGAAACAGAGGGTAAGAATACAGTGGGGTGAGGGAAGAAGACAGGGTGACTCTCATGCTGTCCTCATACCTACTACAGTCATTTTCTGCTACCCAACAGCCCAAACTTTCTCTCTGGCACACAATACCCAACCCAGACTAGGGTAACAGATTTCTTTTTCCCTTCCTCTCCCAGCCCCACCTAAAAGCCTGCCTCCAGGGCCCCCTCCTCTTGGTCTTCATTCCCACACCAGGTCCCTGCTCTACCCCAGGAGCCTCGACAGGGTCTAGTCATCCACATTCAGCTCTATGTGTAAAGCCGTCTTACAAAGATGGCCCAGCCTGGCCATCTCTGTCTCTCCCGTGTTGGGGAGTGGAGGAGGGTAGAGTCCAACTCTTCCAAAAAGCTTCCACAATTCTACTGGGACCCTGATCTTACCCCTTTTATTCTATAATTCCCTATCAACCAATATTCTGACTTCTGAGCCGCTATAAAATCTTCTCAACCCTATGATCCATACTTCGACATCTGGTCCCAAATTCTGATCCCAGGCACGTAAATTCCATCAGCCAACCTTGAACTGTCTGACTTGTGGCTCGAAATGGGCTCCATCCTGCTATGGAATTTTTGCAAAAATTCTCCTTTTCTGACTCATTGCTCCAGAACTCTCAATCCAGCACTTCCAGAAAAACTTCAGAACTCTCAAATCACAACCTCCTTTATCAGAGGATTTCTATCCCTCCTCTATCCAAGCCCTTCTCCCTTCTTCATAGCTCTGGCTTTTTCTCGGACCCCCACCAATGTCCCAAACACTCTGAAAGCCTACCTGTCATATCCTGACCAATCCCCGTGTGTAATTCTAAGACTTCATATCCATCAGGCTCTCTGGTGCAGTCCATAACTGCTTGACTCTCTCATCCTTCTCCATTCTTGCTCAAGGAGCACCTCAAGATACGTCTCAGTCCCTTCTGTATCCTGAGAGCATGAACCCTGTCTCCTTCAGAAACAAAGAACTCTTCCCTCAGTCTACCACAGAAATGAGCCCTTACCCCTCCCAACACAGTTCTGATCCAAACCTTGCTCCTTGAGGCCTCCCACCCTCTCTTGGAATGTTATTTCTGGTTCACAGGACCAACTTTTCCCAGAATTACTTTCCCAAGACTTGACCCTAGATCTTTCTTTCATACTTTGCTCTGGCACTCCCTAATTTTCCTAACTCTTCTAATAGAGTCGACCCCTTCTAGCTCCTTTCCAGGACTAGATGTTCTTTCTTGACTTCCCAAAACTAACTCACTAACTCTAAATGTCTCAAAACCCCCAAGAGCCCACCTTAATTGTTTCCTCAGTCTGGAAACCATGAATCTCACTGCATCTTTCCCTTCCAAATCCTGAGCTTTGTCCTTTCCGTACCCATAGCCCATAACAAGCCTTCCATTCCACAGTGCCAGTTCCCAAACCACCCCAAAGATCATGAACCCCCTTCCTGGTGCTTGCTTCAGATGACGTCTTGGCATCTCCCACCATGGGATCTGCTCTGCTCCCACCATGGGATCTGGTCCCACCCAGGACCAGCTACCAGTTTGCAGCCCCAAGCATGGCTACAGAATTCTTGATCCTTCTCAACCTCAAAACTCCTTGCCCATCTCTGAGGATCTCCAGTCTACTCCAGACCCACAGCACAACTTCCAGTCCAGTTCTCTTGTCCTTCCTACCAGCCCAGCCCCCACCTGACCCAGCATCCCTCCACAGGTGCCGCAGCCCCCGTGGCTGATAGAAGATCGGAGTGTAAGAAACGTTCCCATCCCTGGCAGGTGGCTATATATGATTATGATACATTCATTTGTGGGGGTGTCCTGATACACCCCCAGTGGGTGCTCACCGCCTCCACCTGCCATAGCAGGTGAGTAGAGTCTAGGGATTTGAGGAGGGGGTTTGTAGCAATGACCAGAGCACTTCTGCTCACATAACCAGAGGGGAAGCTCCTGGCTTGAAGAAGGGTGGGGAGTGCTGGTCCAGGAGAGATGCGGAGTTTGAACTGGGTGACCCTGTTGCAACCTTCTCCATCACTGCCAGAGTCCTTTCTGTGTCTGTCTTCATGTCACTCACTGTTCCTCTGCCTTTCTGTGTGATGGCTCTGTCTCTCCTGTGGCCAAGTTTTGATCTCTGTCTCCTTCTCTCTTTTCTCTCTATGTCTGTGTCTCTCCTGTTCTCTGTCCTTCTCTAGATCTCTCTACTGCTACCTTTGTCTGTCTCACCCTCCATCTCTGCCTGTGGCTTTGCCCCATCTCTCTCACTCTCTCTCGCCTCTCGCCTCTCCCTCTCATACTCTGTGTCTCCCCAGTCTATTATTCTTCTCTCTCCATGCTCTCCTTCCCTCCCTCTCTCTAGTTCTGCCTCACTCCCTGTCCCTCAGCATTACCAAGAAGGGATAGCCCTCAATTTAGGCTAAAGAGGGATCCCACTGAGGGAAAGAAGGGAGTTCTCCTGTGTGTAGGGTGTGGGAAGAGTATCATATCTCCATCTCTGGTAGCATAATGGTTACAAATCGGGCTGCTAACCTCAAGGTCGACAGTTCGAAACTACCAGCGGTTCCGCAGGAGAAAGATGAGATGTTCTGCTCTTGTAAAGATTTACAGCCTTGGAAAACCTGTGCAGGGTCACTATGAGTCCAAACCAACTCCACAGTACTTAACAACAACCCTCCAGGACAATTGATCCACTCTAGAGAGACCCATGGAAGAAGGGATGGTTTGAGCTAGAACTAGAAGTGGTAAAGGGAAAAGTGAAAGGTTGGGGCTTGGGAAGGAAGGGTGAACTCTCACCTTGGGCTGCCTGCCAGGCCCGTGCTGGAGAACCTGCCTAGTAGCCACAGATGCAGGTGAGTTGGGTTTCAGGCCCTTCCACCTTCCTCCTCCACCTGTCCATCCACTCCTACCTTCCTGTCCTAGCTCCTTTGTCTCAGATTCTGTTCTCTCTGCCTCTATTTCTCCTCTCTCACTCACTTTATTTCCTCTACCCCTTTCCTATTTTATCTCTATCTCTCTC